TGGACTGCTGGCGGGGGCCTGGGTGTCTGCCGAGGGTCTCCAGCTTGCTAGGAGCTGGGCCAGGCAATGGTTGCACTGTGGAGGATTCTGGCTGGTCCTGCCTCAGGAGGTACCAAGCTGGCTCTAGGCAGAGACTCAGCATCAGGCATCCCTGTGGGGAGAATTTACAGACCAGGTTGTGCAAACCCCCAGAGCTTGCTGGACTCCAGGCCCATGGGCGCTTGTAGGTCCGGGTCATCCCTCCTACACTGGCAAAGGGTCCCATAAAGGGAAGCTCTCAGGCAGCCAGTAGGCTTAGGGGGGCAGCTAGCATTAGGAAAGACTGTGGAATGGTTGAAGGGAGATCTGGAACAATTCTGGACCTCCAAATCCCCCTTCAACATGTCCTCCATGAAGCCTTTAAAAAGTTATAAAATAGATAAGGCATACACAAAAATAGAATGTGGTACTTAGCCTCTGCATACCCGTTACCAAGCTTAGAAAGCTCTTAGTGTTTTCCTATATTGCGTCAGCTCTTCTCTTCTGTAAGAAATACAGCACCACCTATACAGATGAGTGTCTACAATTCTTCCTAAGTCCAGGCCCTTCTTTCCCCGCAGGGACTGTCATTTTTAGTGTGCAGTTTATGTCTCCTCTCTGAGTTTTTTTCCCGCTTGTCTAGCGCACATGTAAGAACCCATGACAGAGGGTGGCTTGTTTTGCTGGCTGTAAACTGTGTATGCAGTGATCTACTGTGACTATCACACAACATTCTTTTCTTCTTTTCCTCTATTTCTTAAGATGCTTCATTATAACTGCTGTATACTATTTCACTTTGTGATTATACTCCATTTAAACATCTCTCTGTTCAACAAAATAATACAATGGGCCAGTAGGTGGTATGGAGGTTAAGGCATTGGATCCCACATGGCCAACTATGCAGTTCGAGTCCAGGATCCAGTGGCTTGAAAATCATACCAGGTGCATTTCTGTGTACCCGAAAGCCTGAGAGGAGACTAGAGTCCTGTCTCAGACTGCGGTGTGGCCGTGTCCTCCTGGGGTGGAGGATGACTTCTCATTGTCCCTCTCTCTCTATCTCTCTCTGGCAAAAGCATACATCCTAGAGCCAAAACAAAGTAAAAAAAAGAACAAACAAACAAACAAAAAAATGCAACGAACATTCTTGGACATTTCTTTGACTACAAAGGTGTGAGGATTTTTTAGGATATATTCCTAGGAATGTGTTTGTTGAATCCTGAAGGATGCATACTTCACCTCGGCCAAACATTGTCCTCTGCCGTGCTTGTATATCAATTTACTTTCCCCTTGGTGGTGTTTGAAAATTCATGTTCTTCTACCTGGTTGCCAGATGCGACTTACCGTTAATAAAGCCTTTGCTAACCAAGTTCAAACTTCACTTCTTCCACTTGTTCTTTCTTTTATATCGTATGAATCATTTGCCTCTCTAAGCCTTGGTTGGTTTTTGTTTGTTTGTTTTTGTTTTTGCTTTTTATCTATAAAAAGAGAATAGTAATACTTAACTTGCTAGGTGACTGGAAAAGTTAAATGAAACACTGCATATAAAAATGCTTACTTACATAATGTTTGGCTGGAATTTAACAGGCACTCCACAAATAGTAACAATAGTAAGACTAAAAATAATAATAATAAACAGCAATCTGCACTGAGTTCTCGTTATATGTCAAAGCGTTGCCCTAAGCACTTTTTTTTTTTACATTTTTTTAATACATTCAATCACATTATTTAGCTTACAAGGTGATCATTTCAATATAAGAACATTTCTCCCCAGTCGAGTTGATCAAAATCTAACACTACCTCCCTGTCTCAACAATTGCTGTCTTCGTATCCCTCCTCCAAATGTTCTTCCCCAGGCCCCACTCCTCCACACACACCACATCTGGCAGCCCTAAGCACTTTAAACTCCTTATCTCACTCATTCCTAATAGCAACCTCGCAAGGTTGCTGCAAGGTACAAGATAGCTGATTTTTCAGGTGAGAAGCCACCGTAGACACAGCTCAAGCAAATTGCTTTAAGTCACCGAGGTCACAAGGGGCACTGCGGGATTCAAATCCCGGGTCTGGCAGGGAGTTTGAACTTGATCCTGTAAGCAATGGGGAATGACTGACTGACCCACCTGCCTGAGCTCAGATCTCGCTGCCCTTTAACTAGTAATCAGCATCTTATGTGCATAAGGCATGTCACAGAGAGAAAGCAGAAAGGGTTTGGGGGTAGACAGGTGACCACTTTATGCCTGGCCTTTTGCTGGCCTCTAGGGACACGATGGGAACCTTGTCCTGTGACTACCTGGAACCTGGTTCAGTGTTTCTCAGAAGTGGCTTCTGGACCATCTGCTCACAGTAGCCCAAGCTGATTGTTCAACAAGCAGCCTCCAGGGAGCCCCAGAGATTCAGAGTCTCCAGGTTTCCAGCGGAAGCAAACAGACAGAGATCCTGATGTTCTTCGTGTAAGAGCCACTGATCTTGCAGGGGAGGAAGACACCGATGACGGCCATGGAGAATGAGAAGGGTGACAGTGAGAGATCCTGGAAGAGAAAGAGCTAGACGAGGAGGGCAGGAAGGGAAGGAGCGATTCAAGCTGGAGACAAAGTGTTTGTGAAAGTTCAGGACTGAAGAAGTGACCCTTTCAGGGAAAGGAAAGCGTTTGAGGAACGAAGCAGCAGTGAGAGCTAAGAGGTGGGCAGGGACTGGTTACAAAGAGCCTTGCTGGTCATGTCAGAACATCCGTGCCTTATCCTACAGCGGTGGAAAATCACCAGTGGTTATTTTATTTGGAGGAGGAAACTGATAGTATTGAGTTTGAGAAAGAGCCTTCTGGGCCAGCCAGGTAGCATGGTGGTTTAGACAGCTGGATCCCACTTGGCCAACTGCATGGTTCAAGTCCAGGACCCAGTGGCTTGGAAAACACACTGGGCGTGTGTGTGTGCCCCAAATCTTGAGAGTGGAGGAGAAGGGGTTGTGTCCTGGTCATCCCCCTGGGGGATTGCTTTCTGACTTTCTCTCTCTCTCTCTCTCTCTGTCTCTGTCTCTCTCTGGTAAGCACATGTGCCCTATAGCAAGTTGAAAGGAAGGAAGGAAGAAAGAAAAGAAAGAAGGAGGAAGGAAGGAAGGAAAAACTGCCCGTGCTCTGGCTGTCACACTGTAAAAGAATAGGTTGTGGAATTGGAACAGAGCAAAACTTTCCTCAGGGCTATGATGTAGGGCACCGGGAAGGACGATCTGGCCTGAGACAGTGGTGGTGGGAAGGAGAGACGTGGAAGACAGAGGGATCCACGGGGGCTGATAACTGACTGGCTGCTTTCTTTGGTAAACTGGGTGGAAGGTTGAGAATGTCACTGTTGTGTAAGCCACTGGAAGGGAAGCCAATGTGAAGGGAAAACAAGAGATCGCTCTAGAACATGCTGAATGTATGACCCTTCTGCAATATCAAAGCACAGCTCCCTGGAAGACAGCTGGAAATGGAGGTCTGTGGGATATCTAGTCACTCATTTCATCTCCCCCTCCTTTTCTAACAGAAGCCAACTCGTTTGGGACAGTGATGGCCCAGCTAAAATATCCCTTCTCCTAGACCCTCTGGACCATCTTTCCAGACTCTCCATGGCTGCCCCTGAGTACCTGAGTACCCTGTTAGGACTAAATCATTCTAAGTGGATATTATTGGGTATAGGTCCTGGAAAGGCTGTTATTTTACTGATAACAGAGGACAGGCCCGGCTGGCATACGCCTTACCCTTGCCTCTCTATTCTTCCTCCCTAGACAGAGATGTGATGCTTGGGTAGGAAGCAGCCATCCTGAGACCATGAGGATGGAAGCTGTATGTTACAGGAGGCAGAGCAGAAAGACAAAAGGATGTGGCACTGTGGAGTGTGGCAGGCCCCTGCGCTGTCTACCACTTGAGAAAAATACATCCTTATTTGGTGAAAGCTCTGGAACCGACTTTCTGTCACCTGCAGCAAAATATGATCCTAACGAATTCAAAGGCTAAAGCTCTGGGGACAGATCTGGGTTAGAGACAGAGATGTGGGTCAGTGTTAGATAGGAACTGACAGTGTTTAGTGGGGACAAGAAAACCAGGCACCCAAATCTGCACAATGTAAATGGTTCTTACGACTTACAGGGCACAGAGGGCTTGGCTTGTAGGCAAAGCTGAAAGGAAGAATTTCAGGCCAGCTGGTGGTGTGGTGGTTAAGGCTGCTGGATCCCCACATGGCTGGCTGTGTGATTCAAGTCCCCAACTCGGTGACTTGAACAACATGTCATGTACATGTCCAAAATCTCAGGGGAGAATGGAGGAGAAGGACTGCAGCATGGCCAACCCCCTGGGGTGGGAGGAAAGAAGGGTCTTTGCACACGTGACCACATGTGTGCTAGGAAGGTGCGTGTACCCTGTGAGTCTCAAGGAAGATCTCTGTAGTTTCTGAGCATAATGCTCTGACCTCCCGATTTCTCTGAATAGAAAATAAGAGAGAATGAGGGAAACTGCTATTTTATTTGTATTCATACATGGGCTGTAATTGGTTATGCCGCACAGCATGTCGGCTATTACTGAAAAATATTCGGAGCAGTACCTCTGTAGGAAATCACACTAGCATTTGCAAGCAAACATGGCTGAGCAAATTCATCTTGCTGAGGACGGTGAGTGACTTCTCACTTTCCTGCTCTCTCTCCTCTCCAGCAAATGTGCACACCCTATAACAAAAAGTTGAAGGGAAAAAAAGGAAGAATTTCCATTCACAGGGCAAGTGACTTTAGGTTACTTTTTCATTGTCTTTGTTTCTACAACTTCATTCAAAACAAAACAATCAATTTAGGGCTATTCAATTAAGATTCAACCCCTTGCGGGTTTATTTTGTAACCACTTTGCAGGTGCTTGACCAAGGGCTGGTGACTCTGGTCCTGTATGTGGTGACTTGACTCTCAGGGTGTGGCTTGTTTGGGGCTCAGAGCAGACCTAGTAACCCTCGGCCTTGGTCTGTTCTCCAGGAGGCAAGAAACCTGGAGTTCCTTCCACAAAGGCTGATGCAAGGACTGCCTGAGCTGTGGGGCACTATCCTAACTGCCCGATCCTTTGCCAAGATGATTCGGCATTGCCTCATTCCTCTCCTCCCCTTGCTGCCCCACTCCCTGAGTCCCAACCCCGAAAACTGATCGGACCCTGACCCGCGGATTTGACTGTGTTACTCTTTCTCAAACACTCCTGCAGTCCCTAGGACAAACCCCAAATGCCTTATCACAGTGTTGGGTCCTTGGCCCCCATCAGCCCTGGCTCCTCCCCCATGTCTGCTCACAAGCTCAGTAGCTCTGAATTTCTCTACCGCCTGCCACTTGCCCTTTCAAGCCCTTGCAGGCTGTTTTCTTGCCCAGAAATGCTTTCTCCGCCTTCTGCTCTGACTACCCCCTCCTGCCCACTGCAGCCAGATTGATTTTCTTGTTTTTCTCCAGCTGGAATGGTTGGAAGCCCACCTTCCCCTTCTACCTCAACCCCTCCCCCACAACATCCTTCCAAATCCTGTTGACTTTAAACCCCTAAACACCTGCAAATGTGTCCCCTTCCTCTCTGTCACTCCCAGTATTCACCAGATCACTGCAACTCTCTTTGGGCACCTCCCCATCTCCAGTCTTCCCCCATGTTGGCCTCTTAAAATGTTTAAGTCCCTAATGGGACTGTCCCCGCAGACCTCTAGAGCCTGACTTGCTACACATCAGGCCCTTCTGAGCTCCTGCAGGCCCAGCTTGGGAGCACGTGGAAAGGTGTCCCTGGGACCACACTGCCTGGATTCCGGCTTCAGCTCAACCACTTATTTCCTGGGCCCTTGGGCAGGCTGCCTAACCTCCCTGTGACAGTTTTAGCACCTGTAAATGCGGGTCAGAGGCAGTATTTAATCCATTCGATTGTTAGAAAGGTTTCAGAAGGTAATCCTGAGGAATACTCCCGTCAGACCGAGTACATTGTCACATGCATGAGCTACTGAGACTGTCCTGTCCTTTCAGCCCTTGGGGTTGACCTGTTGTAAATCTGTTGTATAGAGCCATGCTCGGCCATAGTAGGGACTTGGTAAATATTACAGAAAATGATTTTGCCAGCTTTGCCTGGTCACTGTCTCTTTTTTGTTGTTTTGTTCTTAAAATAATTTGCCAGAAGGTTTGTGTACTCACTGGAAAGAGAGAGAGAGAGAAACTGAGAAAGTACCACCACCCTACCATGGAGGACGGTCATGCCACAATCCCTTCTCCTCCGTTTCTTGTCTTGGGATTTGGGGCATGCAGGCACACATGCCCATGGCCACTATGTTTTTCAAGCCACAGGGTCCAGGACTCGAACCGTGCAGTGAGCCAAGTGGGATCCAGCTGCCTTACCCACCACCATGCAACCAGCTGGTCCTACGGTGTCTTGTCATATTTCGTTTCACTGGTTAAATTATTGCCAGGCATAAAACATAAAAATAAGAGCTTTGCCCTTCCTTTCTGGGT